AATGTGTTTACTTGGCAAGTGGCCAGGGTGGGAGGCAATGGGAAACAACAGGTGCCTTGTGCCCAGCAACCTCCATCCCCCCAGTAACCTCCCCAAGGTCCCCATGAGTGTCCCCCTGGCACATATGCAGTTCCTTTGAGTCCTATGTGGCTGACTTTACTCCATGGCTGCTGGCCTGGACACATGACCCAGAATAACTAACCAGAGCTCCTCATCCCTCTAACTGCAGTCCTGCTTCAAGAATGTCCGTGTGACCCTAGCTGGAATTTCCCCCAGCTATAAGGAAAGAGGCAGTAAGCAACAGGTACACAGAGAGAAGCATGTAAATGGTCACACAAGAAGACCAGATCTGATGAGATGACAGGCCAGGGACAGGGGACTGGAGAGGGGGAGGCTCACATGCTGCTTAGTCACAACCAGAACACAGCCCTATGCTCAGCATTTATTAAGAATTTAACATGGCAGCCAGGCATGGTAGTGCACACCTATAGTGCACAGCATTCAGGAGGCAGAGGCAGGAGGAGCCCTGAGAGTTGGAGGCCAGCCTAGAATAGCGAGAACTTGTCTCAAAAACACCAAAAAAATGATGAGCAAGTGAATTAATAGACACTTCACCAAAGAAGTACAATAGCCAATAAATGAATTGAAGAAATGCTCAAAATCACCGGCCATTACAGAACAACAATGGGATTCCATCTTACCCCAGAAGAATGGCCATCATCAAGAAATCAAAAAATAACAAATGCTGGTGAGGCTTAGAGGAAAAAAAAACAAAAGGAAACAAGCAAACCTTTCTACATTATTGATGGGAGTGTGAACTAGTATAATCACTGTTGAAATCAGTATGGAGATTCCTCAAAAACTAAGATATAAATTCCATTTGACCCAGTTATTCCCTTCCTAGGTATCTTTCTTAAGGAGTTAGAGACATCATATTATAGAGATGCATGCATAGCCATGTTTAGAGCAGCCCAATTCATAAGAGCTAAATCTTGGAAGTAGCCTACATGTGCATCAACAGATGACTGGATAAATAAAATGTGGGATTTACATACAACAGAGTACCACTCTACAATAATAATAAACTTGAGTCATTTGTAGGAAAATGGATGCACCTAAAGTTCATAATTAAGTGAAATCAATCAACATATGAGCTTAAATATCACATGATTTCTCTTAAATGAGAAACTCAAATTATAAATAAAGAGCAAAGTGAAAGATAAATAATAGAAAGTAGGAAGATAGATCTTTATGAAAGAGGAAGGACAGCAATAGATACAAGAAGGAGGAAAGAAAAGGGAGGGAGCGTCCGGGATTAAGCTCAAGTGGTTCCGCTGCCTGCCTCCCAAGCGCAGGGTCCAGAGTTCAATCCCCGGGACGAAAAAAAAAAAGGGAGGGAAGGAAAAGGGAAAAGAAAAGAGAATTAAGGTGAGCTACATACATGTACCAACTGCACACAACAAATGTAAACATTATTTACTGAAAACAGGTACTAATACTTTTTTAAAGGAAAATAAGAAAGGATAAAAATAAATAGGATGAGTAAATAGAACTTAAGATGGTGACAGAGCACATACCAGGCAATGTGGAGCTCACAGGACAGGTGATGTGGAGCCCTTGCAATAACTTCCAAAGCTTGGGCTTGAAAGGCATTGAGGCTTCCACCTGGCACCCTCAAAACCTGCAGCTTTGCGGCACTGAGTAGCCCTAGAGAAGCCTGGCTTCCTGAAGTCATCATGTTGGAAGCACCAAATGAAGAACCCAGGGATGCCCAGGTGTGACACGTGAGGGAGGAAGCCTTTGTGATGAGCCTGGCCTCACCTCCACCTGACAACATGATGATTAACACAAGAACTTCCCACTGGGCTCCTCCAAACACCTGAACCCCCAGTTGCCCCACATATTTTATCTGAAGCCACTAAGCATTGGGGTAAACTGTTGGCAGCCATAGTAACTGAAGCAACAAGAAAAGGAGGGCCAGGGTGTGTGGACAGCAGCACTCTGGACAGACACCAGCACACACAAAGGACCAGAAGTCAGGGCAGTGCAGAAAAGAAAGCACCAGGCAGACTTGGAGGCTTCCCATCCCAATGCACAGAGCTCTTCTTTTGGTCCTGCCTGCATCCCCCCTGCAGAAGAAAATCCATGTCCTCTTCTGTGCAACAAGCAACTTGTGCAATTCTGGTCCCCATGTTGATTTCACAAAGCCTGTACAGAAAAAGAAGTCACATTTACCCATTCTTTCATTCAATCATTCATTTTTGCATTTACTCATCAGCAAAATCAAATGCATCTTTTGTGCTGGGAATTTCCCACTGTCATCTGGTACCACAACAAGATCCCCATGCCCACCCCAAGGTGTGAACGCTATGTCTAGAGCATAGACACAGAGACGAGGCTGGGAGGCCCAGGCCCTTGCTCACTGCCAGGACAGGGGTGGGAGGCAGTGGGTGACCCAGAGTGGCTGAGCCTCCCTCTCTCCCAGTTCCTGGTCCAGCCCTCCCAGGCTGCGTGGCCTTGGGCAAATTGCTCAACTGTTCTGGGTAAGGTTAGTTTTATTCTTTGGTAGAAGGGCAAGGATAAAAGTCCAGGCCAGGGGCCTCAGTTCACAAAACATGAAGGTCAGTGATTCCTCTTCAACTCTTATCTGCAGTGAGAGAACTGAGCAGGTCTAGGCAGCTGCTTTCTTAGCCAGAGCCCCACACCTGGCACATTGTCTTCTGTCCCCTGGTGAGCCCCTGGCTCACTGATGCCCCCAACCAGCTAGCCCCATTCAAACCTTCATCAGGATTTGGGAAAACATGAGGAAAGAGTAAATACTGAATGGTGGTTGGCCCCTGCCTGGGAAAACCAGCAGGAGAGAGGAGAGGCCAACAGGTGACACAGCCCAAAGGCCACACTGTAGCCCCTGGATGGCTTCCTGTGCAGCTGCCAAGGCCCCAAGGAGAAAGCCCAGCCCTCATGAGGTTTGCATTCTGTGGGCTAGAGAGGGAGGCACAGTCTTAGAACAGAATATTTACTCTGTGTTCAGCCGGTGCCCGTACGGTCCTATCTCAATTAACTCTCCTGCCCTGTAAAAAGTACAAGGGGTTTTGTACTCATTCAAGAATACACCAAGGGGCTGGGGATTTAGCTCAGTGGTTCCATTGCTTGCCTTGCAAGCACAAGGACCCGCGTTTGATCCCCGGTACCAAAAAAAAAAAAAAAAAGAAAGAAAGAAAAAGAAAAAAAAAGAATACACCAAGGCCCAGAGAGTGTACATGACTTGCCCAAAGTTACACAGCTGGTAGGATCCAGACGTTGAAGAGCAAACTGAAAATCCCTCAGTTCCCATGCTGAGGACCCACATGCAGTCCTCAGGCAAGAGATGAGGGTTCCCCAGGTTTGCAGATTAGGGGTTGTCTTAGTTATTTTTCTCATTGCTGAGACAAAATACTCAATGCTCAAAGTTAAAGGAGGAAAGTTTTATTTGGCTCACAGTTTGCAGAAGTTTCAGTCCATAATCAGCTGGCTGCAGTGCAGGGTGAAATCACAGAGGAGAAACAGTTCATGGTATGCAGAAGGTATCAAAGCAAGCAAGGGACAACCACAGCTCTTTCTGCCCCTTATATCTCACCCAGGATACTTAGGGCAGGTGGCACTCACACCCTTAATCCTAGTGCCCTCAATCCTATCATCGCACCATGAATCATTCCTAGCATCACACACTCTAGATCCAGCCATCTCTGAAAAAGCCCCACCCATGATTGCATGAGGCTTTGGAGGGACATCAAGGCATAACAGCAGTGGGGCCCCATAGAGGTGAAGCTGCCCAAGGATATCATCTGGCCCTCTGTGCAGAGCAGGATTTAGGGGCCGCATCTCTGACTGTGGGGGGCAGGGCCTGGACAAGATCTTGTTGCACCTCACGCTTTCCTCTCTATAACTCATTACCCTACTCCTGCTCTGGGACAACCTACCCCAGGACATGACCACTTCCCATCACTGTCACAGCAACCTGGCCAGGGCTACCCCAGGGCACAAGGTACCCCCAGGCCCTTAGTGAGAAGTGGGAACAGGAGCCAGCTCCCTCTTGGTGACCCCTTCTCTGAGTCTCCAGAAACACATGGCAGGGCTGCCTCTCTGTGGCCTCACCCTGATCTCCCCTCTATTCCCTCCCTACACTTCCCAGGGATTCCTTGTCCTTGCCCATGGCCAAAGCTAACAGAGAACCCAAAGAGGAAAGTGGAAAGGCTGAGAATGGGGAGCTCAGGAACAGGCACTTGAGAATGCAGCCTTGAAGGGCAGGGCTGGAAGGACAGACAGAGCTAGCTTTAGTTTTCTCTTTTCTAAAATGGGGAGAATAAAAATGCAGGTTGTGCACCTCTGGTCAACCAACACTATGGTCAGCACGCTTCCTCCTTGCCCCTCAGGGTCCCATCTGCAGTGAGCTCTGAAGCACAGCTGGGAGCAATGTAAAAGCTAGAGATTGTGGCTTCTGGGACCTCCTGGGGCTCTTCTTCCCTCCAGGACTGTGAGGAAGAAAGAGAAGAAAGGGACAGGAGCACAGCAGAGAAGCACTGGGTTCAAAGCTGTGGGATTCCAAGTGTGCTGTATGCATATCCACACATGTTTTCTTTCCATCACTCTGGGGAGGGTCAGGCCCAGACTGGACAGTTTCAGACCTCAGGGGCGAGATGGGCAAAGAATCCAGTGTGACTGCTTGGGGCCAGAATGGAGAAGGAAGGGACCAGAGAACACAGGTCAGACACAGCCTGGGGGTGGGAGCAGAGGCCAGGAAGCCCTGTAGGTGAGTGACTCCCAGTATAAACAGCTGCAGACAGATCTGGCCACACAGGGGCTTGCAGCTGCAGCAGCCCTGAAGATCTGTGCCTTCGAGGACACAGGCCACGCTGGTATACTCCAAGCACAGGGCTGAAGAGCAGGCAGGACAGCCTGTGTGGAATCTGAGCGGACTCCTCTCTCCTTTGCCACAAGTCTAGATGCTGTCCTGGCAAGCCATGTTGCGGGGCAGCCTCTTCCTTCTGGTGGCCTCTATGACTGCAGCCAAAGGGAATGGAAAGCAGGTAGACAGTACCCAGAAGAACTGGCCACCCATGGTGCACATGTGGGAGTTGACTGGCAATTGGATAGGAAACCTGGAGAATGAGCTGAAGAACAGCATCCAGACAATGCAGAAGGTATGTTTGGGCCTGTGAGCAGTAGACAACTTTGGGATTGTCATTATCAGCACAGGGACAATGCACCCCTAAGACCTCAAAGGACAGCGAGGGCAGAGAATGGGATATGAGACTAGAGTGGAGCAGGGATGGACTTGGTGCCACACAGTGAGACTGGGCAGTATTAGAACAGGGAATCTGGCTCTTCACAGCTATTCATTGAGATAAACACAGGCCCATCCTTAGCGAGTAGACAGCAGAGAGAGAACAGTTTGTTCCTTCTGGATGTGAGGGAGAAAGAGGCCATGAAGAGATGCCTACTGTGATAGACAGTGACAAAAAGAGAAGAAGGGGAGGAGGGCGAGCTGTGGCCAGGGCTGTCTGTCTGAGGTCAGATCATTTGTGAGGGTGTCACAGAGGAGGTGGCCTCTGACCCCAGAGGACAAGTGAAGCAGGCATCTGCAGGCAAGTTCACACTGAGGGACTGTTGGGTGCCAGGGCTTCAAGGAGGGAATGCAGTCAAGTGCATGAGGACAGCAAGAGAGAGGGGGCATTGGCAGAATTCTAGAAGTGAGAGCAGTGCCAGCCATGAAGGTCCCATGGAGTACAGCGAGGTCTTTGTCTTTTGCCCTTAGTGTCACTTCAGCCATGGAAGTTTTCAGAGGGCAGCTACAGCTGCTTGGGATTTAATAGGGACGGGTAGATCCTAGGAGTCCAGGAGGAGGCCCTGACAGAAGAAATGACAGAGGCCTGAGTAGCTTGAGGGTGGGGAATGAAGAAGGGCCAATTCTGCAGGGAGCAAATCATCTATGCTGATGAATCAGATGCAGGGAGAACAGCAGTCAGGCCCACAGCAGTGTGAGCCAAGGAGCTAAGATTATCGCCATTTCAGAGAAGTCCTATCATGTAGAGGTATTGCCCAAGATCACCCAACTGGTGAGCTGAAAGCCACCACTCAAGCCCAGGCTCATTGATCCAAGGCACTGCTCTCTGCTTTAACTTTTACCTGCAGTTGACAGCTGCCTTTCCCAATCACAAACCACATGCAACATTTTCCATGGAAAAGACATCCAGAGAAAATCATTGTTACTGATCTCCTTCTTGGTCTTCAAATACCAGATACACTCCCATCCATCACAGGGCCTTTGCACTTGCCTTTTCCTCCATGTGGAATCTCCTCACACCTGACCTTCCCACAGCTGGCTGTGTCTCATCCTTTCAGCTCAGGTGACCCTTAATAGTGAAGCTTTCCTTGATACCCAGGCTCAACTTGTGCCCCAACCCATGCATTACTCTGGTTTATGCTCTTCATAGCACTTATCACTGTTGCAATCTAAATGATTTATTGAGTAGAAAGGTAGAAAGGCTCTGGAATCAGAAAATCTTGGCAGTTATTTCGTTGTTTATTCTCTAGTACAGGGCTAAGCACATAACAGATCCTCAAGAAATAATTCCTGCCAGGCATAGTGACACACACTTGCAATCCCAGCACTTGGGAGGGAGGCCGAGACAAGAGGATTGCTGTGAGTTCAAGGCCATCCTGGGTTACATAATGAGTTCAGGACCAACCTGAACTACATAGTGAGACCCTGTTTCAAAAAACCAAAAAAAAAAATTTTTTTTCTTGAAGAATATACAAATGAAACTCAGGCTGAGACACTAGTTTGAGGAAACATATTTCATATCACACTGGACTTGTATATGGGAAATTTTCTAGAATTCCAAGTTATTGGGCTTTTTATTTCTTGAGGTATAATCTGCATGTGCTAAAATTCACCCATATCCTCTACAGTGCTGAGTTGGACGAACATATACAGTCCTGAAACCACCACAAGCATGATATAGGACACTGCCAACACTGCCATAAAGTTCTCCTGGGGCCAGGGATTTAGCTCAGTGGTTTCGCCACCTGCTGCACAAGCGCAAGGACCCAAGTTTGATCCCCAGTACAAAAAAAAAAACAAAAAAACCCCATAAAGTTCTCCCGTATCCCCCTATAGTCATTCCCACTCTTAGACCTCAATCCCTGGCAATCACAGATTCCAACTTTCCCAGAAAGTCACAGAAATGGAATCCTTCAGGATATAGCACTCTGAGTCTGGTTTATTTTGTTCAATGTGGTGTAGCTGAGATTGTCCATGTTGCTGTGTGGATGATGTCTTTCTGTTAACTTCTGAATCTTGGCCATTGGATGGCTGGGCCACAGTTGCTTATCCATTCGCCAAAGTTCATTTTATACAAATAATACCAGAGAAAACCAGGCTTCAGCAGAGCTATTCAATCTCAGAGTTTGTTCATCCAGAGATCAGCATCTCTTGTGGGTCAACATCCTTCTGCCCAAGGCCCTGTCTGTCCAAACTCCCTTCCTTTCTTTAAGGTCCTTTTCAAGTCCTCTATCCCAACAAAGAGAAGCTTTACTGTCCCACTCCATTGATTTATAAAGTGAGGCTCAGAGACAAAGAGGATCCTCCAAAAGCCATAGCTAGAGTAGAGCAGAGTGAGAACTCAAATCCAGAGCCAATGACAGAGTAGTCCAGGGACCAAAGCTGAACATCTCAGCAGGTGGGAGGGGAGGTGGGAGGCTGTGGCCCATTCCATGTATCGGGGCTGAGAATGTGCCAGCCTGAGGGTGATAGAGAAGGGGCTGCTCCAATCCTGCAGTAGGATAGGTGCCTGGAGAACAGTCAGTCCGCACCTAGGTCTATTCCTCCAAATGAATCTTTCCCCTTTCTTCTGTCCATGTCTGAGCCCTGGGCAGGACTCACTCCCACCATACAGGCTTCCAGAGCCTCAGTGCAGCTCAGCTGTGCCCATCTCTCCGGCCAGGATCCATGCTGATGAGTGGCCGGGGTAAATTGTGTGACAGGATCCAGATGTGGGTGGTCTTTGTCCCTCCCAGCTGCTTATAGCCTGAGGTCCAGTGGGAGGCCTGTGAGGGTGCTCATGGACCTCCAGTCCCTTGAGATGATGCCCAGCTACACTGAGTCCCAGCCTAGCTCCAAAGATGTGAGGAAACCTTCAAAGAAAGAATTCTTGGACTCTAGCCTGGCATGTAGTGACCCTAGACAAGACTTCTGGGGTCCCTGAGGGGCCACCTCAGGGGAGCTGCTTGGAATGTCTCAGCTCAAGGATGAACTTCCTGTTTGCCTACCTGAAGCAGAAGCTCATAGCCTTAGAGTCTGCATTTCAATCCAAGTTCTAGTAGATTTCTGACTCATAGAAAAGCCAGAGCCTAGATTCAACAGAATTCTGTTTACCCTGCACAGGATGGGCCCCCTATCAACTACACATTAGCATCTCTGGGGACCATATTAGAGAGGGAGGTGTGACAAGAGGCATTCTGAGGGAGTTGAGGGAGTTAGTGAGCATCTCAACATTCAGGGGATCATTGCAAGCAAAATTAATAGTGGGTTGAATACGGCAGGTGGGAAAAAGTGAAGTCAAGTTTAGGGGTTGAGTTTAGGCCTTCAGAATGGGATGGGCTCATTGACTGAGATGGAAAAGTGGCTGGGAGCTTCAGGGACAGGGCGGTGGGAGTAGAAGGATCAGAGGTCCATGCTGGTTGCTCCGTGCTTGAAATGTTAGAAACCTGCAGGGAGAGGCAAGGTGATGGGACATTCAGGGGAGAAGTCTAGGTGAGAGATGATGATGACACTGTTAACACAGGAGGATGTTGAAGTATTGCATGGGGGTGCACTGCTGCTCTGCAGGGATGGGAAGCCAACCAGGATGGTAAACTCAACACTAATAACAAATCAAAGGGACGGAGTTTAAAAGGGAAGATACTTTATTTGTAAGAAGAAAAAAGAAGAAGACAGAAAGCTGCCACATATGAGGTGAGGGCGGGGAAGGTCCAGATGGATGGCCCTGGTCCTTTGTCCTCAGCTTCCTCTTATTAGGTGATAAAGACCCTCCCTCCTAGGTCAGTAGCTGGAACTTGTCACAATCTGGTTGGCTGTCTGGAGTATCATAGATGGATCCCAGGCCACAAGAGCCTAATCTGGGCATCATTGCCTCCATGGCACTCCTAGGTGGGGTTTTGTTTGTTTTATCCCTGCCCACTTGTCCTTGTACAGGCCTTATCTCTGGGATTTACAGGTTGATTAGGAGGAATCTTACAGACAAGATCAAGTTAGTGATTAAGTCAGGGGATATGTATATATCTTGCACAGTAATATGATAACCCTAGAGTGGGAATACATACATATTTTTATATAGTTCCCTTAAAGCTCATTGCCCCCTCCCCCTTTGGTCTCCTTTGTATAGTATTAGAGGTGAGAAGGGGCGGCTACCTTGGTTTTAAGAACCTGGCTCCCTTTGTACTCTGTCCGTCAACCCCTCAATCTGATCCTTTGATGTAAGTACCAATGCTATTTGGTTCCTTTTAAAATCTTATTTGTTCTTCTCTCTATCCTTGTACTTTTAATGGCTCCCTCCAGTAAAGTTTTAACTCTTTCTAGTTAGGATTGGCCAGAAAGGCTAATGAGGCCTTTATTCTATTCTTTCCTTTCTTCAGAACCCATTTCCCTGCAGAAGTCCCAGGAGCACTTTGAGCCCTTGGGCAGAGCCCTGGTGCATTTGAGGCCTTGGATACTCTGGCATCTAGTACCTAGGAAGCTTATGGATCCTTGCCAAAAACACATAAAACAAAAGCACAAAATAGCATAGTAATATTACAATTGAAATCAAAATATGAAAATGCAAATCTGTGATAAAGCTGTAATGTTATCTAGTGGTAGGGTTGATAATATTCATAACTGAAGTTATAGAGAGGGGAAAAAAAACATATTTGAAGACAGTGTGAACCACAGTGTTGAGTATGGAAATATTTGTGATTTCTGTTGGCCATGAAGTCACGGGCCTATAGGATGGCTCTGGTTTGTGTCCTAAGCTCATAAATTACAGAAATGACAATTTTAATTATATAGTAATAGACCGAATCATGGAATTTTAGGTCACTCAAGTTCATAGACCTATTGCATTCTCTCCAGACCCTGTGGTCATGAATTGAGGACCCTGGAATAGGGAAAGAGGAGGACCCAGGACTGGGCCAACCAAGGTCCCAGAATGTAGGAACCTGATAGAGCAGAGGGGTGGCCAGGGACAGGAGGAATGGAGGACAGAGGCCTCTGGGAGTGCTTCCACTGGCCACACTGCTGGCAGGCCCAGCAGCACAGGATGAGAAGTGTCCTTTGAGTTTGACACCAAGCAGGGCCTTGACAAGGTGAATGGAAGAGTGAAGGGGATTCCTGGGGCTGGAGAGACACAAAGGGAGGTAAACAGAAGGATTCAACATTATAGGTCACTTTTTGAATTTTTGTATGTGTGAAATACACCATTAGTATATGTTAAATTTGTAGGGAGTAGGGTTGGTGTGGAGGTGAGAGAATGGAGTTTGGTGCTGCAGGAAGCAGGGAAACTGGAGAGACAGCTGGCGGGGCTGTGGGTCATTTTCAGGTGGGAGCTGGGAGAGCGCATCTGTGCATTGGGAGGGACTGGTAGGGCATGAGGAAGGAGCTGGGATCTGAAGGCCAAAGGCCTGGAGAAGCTCTGGTCCCTGAAGTCTCTATGCCCAAGGGTCTCACACTGAAGCCAGCGTCAGACTGAGCCAGAGGCTGCTGAAGGGCAGACTGCTGGGCTGCCTGAGCCCCTGAGTCATAGAGCTGGGTGGGCCTGGAAACTTGCATTTCTAACCAGCTCCTAGGTGGTGCTGATCTTGGGACCCACTTGGAGGAAAGCCCTGCTCTAACAACCCTAGCACCGCCAGGTGCACTCTGGAGTGCACAAGGATATGTGACCTGCAAAGGCACTGTCAGAAGAGGCAGGGGAGGGGGGGGGCAAAAGGGGACCAAGGAGAGGAGGAGAGGAAGGAGGCAGCAGCCGAAGCCTGGCCCCCAGCCCAGCTCACCACCTCTCCCTGGGGAGCCCTGGTTTTCCAAGGAACCTGGGAGGCACCCTGTGGGACCTCCCTGAAGACTGAGTGAGAGGGTGAGGGAGGGTGGCCTGAGCCAGTGAGAGCAGAAGACGGGAGACCATGGAGTGAGGACAGAGGGAAGGAGGAGGGAAAGCTCCTCTCTGCCTGCAGGCTCTGAGCCTGAGGACACACTGTTCACCTTTACAACCTGAGCCTGGTTCTAGGCCAGCCCTGCTTCCTGGCTCACAAGAAAGAGCAGCTCTGTCAGTGAAATGCAGGGTGATCCCAGGGCCCTTGGGGACCAGGGTCCAACCCTGCTTGGCAGACAGACAAGGCCAGAAGTTAGAAAGCACAGCCTGGCAGATGGACCTGCAAACTGTACCAGGGAAAGATAGGTGTCCACCCTGCTGGCTGCTCCAAGCACCTATGAACACCAGCATGTGTAATGACACGGGGAGAGTGACTGATGGAGCTCGAGCAGTGATAGAAGCCAACTGAATTATGGGCATGACAGTTGATGATGAGGACAGGACGAGCAACAGAAGGATTGTGAGCAGAGGGAACACATTTGGAAAGGCTGCTGAGTAGGGGATTATAGAGGACAAGGTTTGGCCAGGGGCCCCTGTGAAGAGGCCAATGCATTATACTCAGCAAGATGCAATAGAGGCTGAGACCACAGTGGGGGCCATAGAGGGAAGTGGTCAGGAACCACACTGAAGTGAGGGCTGATAGCATTTGCTGACAGACCTCATGTGGGGTCAAGGAAGATCCTCCTGAGGCCTGAGAGCATGAGGGATAGAAGGGTCATAGGCAGTGATGGAAGAGAGTGAGTGAAGGACACAGGTCAGGTAGGACCTACGCCTGAGTGAGAGGTAAGTGACCCAGGGACTAATGACTTGGAGAGTGGCTCTGGGTCAGGAAGAGTCAGGAGCGACAGGCCCATGTGAGGGCTGATGGCAGGCTTCTGCATGACTCACAGAACCCCCGCTCTCCTGTTCCCTGGTACAGGTCCTGAACCAGTTGTTGCCCATGGAGAACAAGATGCTGGAGACTTTGCGTTCCATTGACAAGCAGGAGAAGCACATGCAGGAGCAGAGTGACATACTGAAAAACCTGCATGGCCACAACAGGTAAGTGCTGGCGTCTGTTCCCTGAGGGGCACTAGCTGAGCTACTGGGACTCTAGCTCAGGGTCCCGCACCTGGAGCTGGGGCTGGGGCTGAAGCTGGGATTGGGCCAGCTCTGGAAAGACTGTAACCATGATTGGAGTCCAGAGGAGCTGGGAGGAGGCTGGGCAAGGTGACTGGGTTGGGGCTGAGCTGGGAGCCAGGCAGGCCTAGGGTACATCCCTCAGCATTGAGTGGGAACAGAGAAGGGGCATGTTCTTGGGGCTCAGGACACCTTGATTCTGCCTTTCTGCTTTCTTCCTTTCTTCACTTTATTTAAGAAATGTTAACTGATTTATTTAGATATGATTTATACACCGTACAATTTACCCTGTACATTTTAATTGGCCTTACTGATTTGTAAGGGGGAGTGCACCACTCCCCTCTCAGCCCTGTCCCTCTGCCACCAGGTTACCGGAGCCAGATAGTAGCTACCTGGGTGCTGGTGTCCCAGCCAGGTGACCTCTGCCCTCCACTGGACCCAGTCCACATCATTCCCTTCCTCAGCCCATGCCTACTATGAACAGGGACTTCGGGATGTGTGACTCTGAACAGGATGCTCCACCCTCTGGGTCTCCAGTCTTGGGTATCAGTGAGTGTTGGACAGTGGGCTCAGCCCTATACATGCTTCCCTTAAGTTACCTGGATCCTATAATGGTCATCGCGGATGCACAGCAGCAGGTCCAGCTGGCCGGCCTCCACAATTTAAAGGAGCTGCTGCAGCAGCTGCTGGACCACCACAACAGCACTCTAACCAGCATCCAGGACAGCTTGCAAGCTGCCAGCAGCAACTCCAGCCTCCGGCATCAAAATCAACACCATCTTCTGGAGATCCTGCAGGAGCTCATTCACCTGGTGGACCAGGGCCCAGGTAAACAGTCAGTGATTCTGGGGCAGGAGGCCAGGAACGAGGGCATGGGCTGGGCAGGAACCTTACTCAGCCTCCAGGGTCACTTTGGACTAGGATCCATTCTGGGAAAGGCCATTTGGACAACAGAAATAGCAATAAGCAGTAATAATAATAGTGACAGCAGTGGCCCTAAGAGAAGCCAATCTAGACTCTGCCTCCTGATTCCACAGGTGCCTGGGTCCTCCCCCATCCCACCCCACTCCTGGCCTCAGTTTACCCATCTTTTCAACAGAGGTGGTGATGTTAACAAGCACAGGAGCAGCTCAGGTTGACAAATTAAGCTCCTAGGATTCACCCTGAGCTCCACTTGTTTGGGCTTTCCCTAATAATCCTTATGCATCAGTTTCCCTATAGAATAAGGACATGGTACTCATTGCACCCCAAAGACCTCTCTCCTGTTAACGCTCTACCCCCAAAGCCCAAAAGGACCGCAGAGAAGCCAGGCAGCCTCCCAGCCCAAATGGAGAAGCCCTACTCCTCAGCAATCACTACTCCTTCTGCAGGCCACGTGGGGGCTAAGACTTCCTGATTCCAGCTTCAGTCACTCACTCAACAAATGTTGATTCTGTACACAGTGGGAGCCAGGCCCAATGTTGGGTTGGAGGGATCCAGCAGTACACACAGACTGCCCTATCTCCTGTAAACAAAAACCCAAACCCCCTGTGTGGGCCTCAGAGGGAGAGAGGAAACACTTCTTTCTTGAGTGCCTACTGTGTGCCAGATGCTCTGCTAGCAGTGTTCCTGAAGCTCCCACAGCACAGCTGGCCTAAAGGACCATGTTAAGGAGAGGGGTCTTTAATGTGAGAACTGAGCGGGGCTCTGGTGGGACAGGCAGGCCCTCCTTTCAGGGAGTGGACAATGGCTGAGTGAGAGGGAGACCAAAGAGGGGGTCTTATTGCTACTGGATGAGCATGGGGAGCCAAGAAAGCCTTCAACGACAATGAATCCAGTAATAGTGATGGAATTCCAAGAACCATGAAAGGGACTTGGGGCAGAGGACCTCACTATGGCTTCATCCTAAGTTCAGCAGGCCCAAGGAAGATCTGAGTGCCTTCCAAATCACAAGATGTGGAGTGATCAGAACCCATTAAGGGCCTATGTGTGGCCCTGACAGCGAGGCTGCAGAATAAGCCCCATGTGTGGGATCTGTGGCTCACCCCAAGCACAAGGCTGGAGCCCCCTCTCCTTGTAAGCTCTGGGCTAACCTGGTCTGCAGTGTGGCTGCCGGTCTGTTTACCTGTGTGGATGGGAGGTTGTTTGGGCATGTCAACACCATCAGCCTTTGCCCAAACACCTTCTACTGGCACCCAAGAAGGATGCTTAGGAAGTGCTTGTCCCTCCTATGAAGTTTTGGTCCCCAGGCCAAGAGCAGAGCGTCAGGTGATAGGAAGGGAGCATGGCCTCTCAGGGGAGTTCCAGCCCTAGCTCCATCACTTGCAAAGCAATGACACTTTGCATTCTCCTTTAATTTCTCAGACACTCAGTTTTCCTCACCTGTGAAATGGATATAAAAATCTCACAGAGCTCATGCATGGAAAATGATATGAGGCCATGCACACAAAGGGGCTCAGGAGGCTCAGCAAGGTGCCGGGGCCTAAAGGGGGTGAGATGTGTACAGATTTCCAGCCCATGGTCTCAGAGGGAGTCCATCCACACAGTCCACTCTATTTTTATGTCCTACCTTCACTCCCATTTACCTAAACTCAAATGGGCACTGAAGAACCTTGCAAGACAACAGTGGTGGTTATTTCAATTTGTTATTGTTATCATTTGTTACTGTTTGTTTGTTGTTAATGCTATTTTTGTTGTCTAAGGAAATTCACAGTGCATGGAGCCCCCACAAAGTTGGCTGGAATTCTCAGGCTAGCTTCCGGCTCAGTCCTCACCTTGCTGGGGGAAGTGTGGCCTGTCCTTGCTTACTTCAAGGCCAGTGCCTTTCCCACCCTTATCTAGACTCCAAACCACTGGACTATGGGGACCCGGGGGCTGCTGGCAGGTGGGCACTGGAGAGCCCTGTCCAGAAAATGTTATGGCCAGGCTGGGATGGATATAGGTCCTAGTCCTCTTGTTAGTAATATGGGTGCGACATCCCCCTTCCGACAGATGCCCCAGATGCAGGATCTGACAGCCACAATCCAAATGTGAGGCCAAAACTGGAAGTTCTGCCCGTTGGTGTCTCCTGGTTTTTCTTTGGAATCAAGACCCATCTACATGGAAGTTTAACCCCATCCTATTACTGACCTACACAGTGTTTGGCTTCGGATGGAATAATAGCCCACATCGCTAACTGGATCCTACTAAATGAGCTAGAGGGAGCCTTTAAAATCCATGCAGTTTGTCAACAATCACTTTTCCCAGAGGTTCATGGGTCTAGAAGGTTTAGATATTAAGTCAATACTTTCCTGAACTCAGAAACAGGGTCTGCAGGAAAGAAGCATGGGCCCTTGATGACAAGTGACCAGGTCCCAGAGTAGGCAGAATGAGAGCCCTGTGCTCAAGGCTGCAGGGAGAGCCAGCTGAAGGTGGGCCAAGATGGGCCCACAGCCAAGCAAGCCCCAAGAAGGGGGGACTGTGTCCCAGCTGGCTGGGTGCCCACACCCTGAGCCCTCAGCCTCCTTGTCTGTGAAATGGGAAGCACCTCTCTGGAATGAGGATTCCTCTTACCCTCTCTGAAGAGCCTACCTCCTCCTCCCTGGACTCCCTGCTTTGAGGCTCAGCCTCTGTAGCCCCACTCTTACCACAGTGCTCTTCCGGGACAAGGTGGTTTGGGCTCTTGAGCCTGGTACTTGGGGCCAATTGGCTCTGCTGAAACAGCCTCCTCTCTGCCTTCTTTCCTTCCTTGCCCATTCTGTGCCTGCCGCATCCTATCCCAAGCAGCCAGAGCACTCCTGCTGAGGCTCCACTCTCATGGTGGGAGTCAGCCCCAAAGCATGCCCCTGCACCCTGCTCACACCTGATCAACCACCTTGAAACCTTTACCATGCTGTTCTTTCTACCCAGACACCACCTCTTCTCTACCCGGAAACTCTGGAAACCTTCCCAGGTTGGCTCATCTCCACATCCCTGCACCTCCCCATCCAGGACCTGTACACAGGAGCCCACCCTGACCTTTCCCTCTCCTTGCTCATCTCCAGCTGACTTTTGCTTTACCTCATTGCTGCCTCCACAGGTGCAGCTCTGTTGAAGTTCCAGGACTGTGAGGCCATCCGCAGGTCTGGGCTCAGTGCAGATGGTATCTACACCATCCTCGTTCCCAATGTGACAGAGCCCAAGAGGGTAAGGGGATTCTGACATGCTGTGTGTGAACTTCTCAGGTGCTGAGCCAAGGGCTTTCCAGACAGACTGCTTTGGCACTGGGCTATGTCCAGTATCTGAGATCTCAGTGAAATGGAGGTTTTCTAACTTCTGGAGCACTGCAGCAGGAGTCAGACCTTGGGGCAAGGTGCAAAAGACCTCAAAGTAGAAGTGCCACCTTCCAGAAAGGCTTCTCATTGGAATACCAGGAAATAGCTTTGTGCTGGTTAATAGCTTTGTGCTCTCTGATTGGAGAAGTAAAGCCTGAAATTCCAGGGGCTCAGCCCAAAAGGGTTTATTTCCAGTTGAAGGTAGAAATCAAGGATCTGGTCCATGCAAGACATTAGTTACTTGGGGCTGTGCTCATTTTCAGTGAGCAGCTCTCCAGTTGTCCCTGAATGGGAGGGTGCAGAGGAGAGCATCCCTAGTGCTTTGAACAGAGCTTGGCACATAGAAAGTGCTTAGCAAACTGTTGTACACTGAACAACAGCAGTAATAGCATTTCCTGAGTCTACATGATGGCTAAGCCCTTTTTAACATTTAACCCTTTAACATTTAATCCTCCCAGCAACCCTGCAAATTAAGGAATACAAAGATTCCATTTACTTTTCTTCTGGTATGTGCTGGGCTTTCTTCTAAACATTCACATGACCCATCTCATGTATACTCACAATAATGTTAGTTTGCAAAGGAGAAACTGAGGCACGAAGAGGTTAAGTATGAATACTCCCATTTTACAGGTGAGGAGAAGGTAGCTGTGGGAGATCATCACTGGCTTGTCACTTCAGGAAATGATAACAGTGGATGGGATATTGGAATCTGGATCTTTCTGATGCCATTGATGATCTTTTGTTCTGCAGGGGGTGGGAAGTCCATCAGCCAAGTAACCCTTGTGCTGCCCTGGACCTGGCTTCTGCTGTATCCAGAGATTTCAGCTGCTCCCTCTTCCCCTAGGTGTTCTGTGTGATGGGCACTGATGGAGGCGCCTGGACCATCGTTCAGCGCCGTGAGAACGGAACAGTGAATTTTGATCGGAACTGGGAGGATTACAAGCAGGTGACACTGCTGCCCTGGGGAGGGGCTTTGTGCCCTGAGGCCTGGTGCAGGTGCTGGGGTACTGGCAGGGGCAGGGGAGCTGGTTCATTCTCACCCCTTCCTAGAAAAAGAAATCAAACCCCTAAGCCACCTACCCTCAATCAGATTTGCCCAGTGGCCATGCATTTTCTAGGACCCCATTCCCTGAAAATGACCCTCTTTTTGAAATTTCTGATATACATCCTAGGAATGAAATTTTAACTCCCAATCAATTTTTGGAAAAGATATATATTTCTGAGTTTATTTTTTAGAAAGAGTACAAAGGAGGTAACCTGAAAGAAATATCACCCACACCCTTGGCTACATTGCTGAAATGAATTTCTTTCTCCTTTTATACATCTATGACTACATCTGCAGGACAAATTCAGTAATGTGAAATTGCTGGTTCACCAACAGTTTGGTTCCTCACTAAAGACTGATTTTCTCTGTTCCTGAACTTCAGAGAACCATGATTTCAATTATTTGTAATGGGCTTTTACATTTACAAATGATCTTTTTCCTGATCATTAGAAACAGGGTTTGGGATAAGTGGCCTCAGAGCCTGCTCAATCTAGTTGTTTGCCCAGGGATCTAGCCTCCTTCTGGGGCACTTCAGCCTACCCTATCTTCCCCCAACCCACAGGGCTTTGGAGACCCAGATGGGGAGCATTGGCTGGGCAACGAGGTGGTGCACCAGCTCACCAACATCACTAAGTACTCTCTGCGTGTGGAGATGGAAGACTGGGAGGGCAACAAGTTCTACGCCAACTTCGGGCATTTTCAGCTGGGCAGCGAGGAGCAGTTTTACAGGTGGGCTTAGGGCACAGCTGGTGAGTGTGTTGGGATCTTTGTTGAGTTCCATGTTAGTAGCTGAAGAGTATGTGCCAAAGATCAGTCCCTGTGCATGTCATCTTCCTATTATCTGTCCTGATTTGGCCCCACATCACAGGATCTGAAGCCAGCTGGTTAGCACTCAGCACTCCCTGACCACTGAGTGGGTTGGAGAGGAAGTCACTAATGCCACCATTCTCAGAGCAGGAAAAGACCTTCTGAGGGCAATCACCCCAAAACAGTCATTGACACAAACTCAGAAGGGAAAAGTGTCTGGTTCAGTCTGTGCTGTGTCCTGGAGTGAGGTGAAAATGTACTCAGGATGGGAGGCAAGAGACCGGGACCCTTTCTGGCTCTGTGGCAGCTCTCACTTGGGTAAATCAAGGTCAAACTGCTCTGAATCTCAATGTGTCCAATGCAGAATGGGCTTGGATATAAGGATATTGTGAAATCTTCATGTTTCCTTCCTCAGTCTGGTTCTTGGTATGTTTAGGAAAAGGAATGAGCATTTCCTAAAACCTACTGTGGTCCAGACATTCCATTTAACTCCTCCCATAACTCTCTGAGATGGGCTTACCTTAGTAAAATGAAAACTGAGGCACGGAAGTCACCTCAAAAGCTACTAGTTAGGTAGTCTGGATTTGAACTCAGGTCTCCCTGCTCCTTGAACTCAATATACACAATGCAACTGTGGGAACCTCTCAGTGACATGTCCCCATGCCTCCTCTTCTTATTGATTGCCCTGCTTCCCCCAGTGAGGTGGATCTGCCACCTCTCCTTAGAGGACCCTTCTGAACTACATCACCTTCCTCCTGAAGTGTCCAATATCCAGAGCTGGGCCAGGCAGGGCTCAGATGGAGCCCCTGCTCCTCACAGCTGCCCAGGGAGTATCCACAACAACCTGTTGGGTCATACTTAAGTCACGGAGCACTGCAGCATAGGCTGAAGTTCCAACACCACCCCGTTCACCCTGAGTGACTCGAACCAATCTCTCCCCATTTTCATCTGTAAAATAGGTCCCCTAGGCTGGGGCTTGAATAAGATGTTACCCAGAGAGCATGAATACACTGCCTGCCCAGTCACCACTCAGCAAATAGTGTCACAACTGCTCTCCCTACGGCAGTCCTCATGGCCTCAGCTGGCCCACTCTCTGTGAGCCAAGCCCAGCTGCCCACCTCCCTGCTGTTCCATCCCTGGGCCTCTAAATGATAAGACCATAGGAGGATATGCAGGCAGCCTTCTGAGTCTCTCCCACAAGTATCCGCAGAGTCTCTTCTCCCTGACCCAATTCTTGGACAGCAACTTTTGTGGTCCTAAGTCCAGGATCTGCCACTTACATGCCTTGGGGCACAAATGTCATTCCAGTCAAAAAATCTTTCCAGTCAAGAAATATTTTGTTCCAGTCAAAAACATAGGCCTTGGGAGCCAGGCTGCCCAGGGCTCAACCCCATTGGCTTTGTGGTTTTAAAGTAGTTACCAAATCTCTCTGTACCTCAGTTTCCCCACCTATAAAATGTAATATCTAGGTCATAACTGAGATAATCTGTAGTAAGTCACCTAGACTATGGTAAATGTTAAGTAAAACTTGGAGATATAGGAGTCGCGCGGAAGACATCGAATCAGCCCGTTGCAGACAGGCAGGTCTCGGCATGCCCTACTGAGGTCCCGAGTCACGCGGTACACACAGAATCAGCCCGCTGCAGACAGGCAGGTCTGCGCACACCCTACCGAGGTCCCGAGTCACGAGGAGGACGCCAAATCAGCCCACACCCCAGCAACAATCCACTGGACCCCCACCCTCGCTCCTCTGTACAGCCACCTGGTTCCAAACTACAAAGACGCAGAGGACGCCAGACCACCAGACCACGATACTGGGTCCCGCTGCTCCCAGCCCAGAGGTAGGGGCTTCTGAGCCACAGTCCCACTGCTCCTGGTCCAGAGGAAGAGGCTTCCCGACCACCATCCCTCCCGCTGCACCCAGCCCAGAGGATAGGGCTTTTGGGCCACCTTCTGTCCCGCCGCTCCTGGCCCAGAGGAAGGGGCTTCCAGGCCACCATCCCTCCCACGGCTCCTGGCCCAGAGGTAGAGGCTGCTGAGCCGCCATCCCACTGCTCCTGGACCAGAGGAAGGGGCTTCCCGGCCACCATCCCCCCCACTGCTTCCAGCCCACAGGAAAGCGCTTTTGGGCTACCATCCCTACTGCTGCTCCCGGCCCCTGTCCCACTTCTCCGAGCTCAGAAGAGGTAATCCATGCAGGCACCAACAGCCCCCACCCCAGTCGAAATGAGAAAACACGTAAATAAGTCTCAAAACCAGACTCCCAGATCACCTACAGCAACCCCAAAGGGAAATGACATGGAACACACTGATACTCAACCACCTGGACCCACTGAACTGGAAACAAAAGGGGATCTGGAAAAAATGAAATCAGAAATAATTTCTCAGAGAACAGGAGAAATT